TTGAATTGCCATGAGGGTTAAAAAAAAGGCATATCTAGGGGCGCCTGGGTGGCTCAGCTGGTTAAGCGTCCGACTTTGGCTCAGGTCATGATCTCGCGGTTCGTGGGTTCGAGCCCCGCGTCGGGCTCTGTACTGACAGCTCAGAGCCTGGAGCCTGCTTCAGATTCTGTGTGTCCCTGTCTCTCTGCCCCTCCCCTGCTCACACTCTGTCTCTCTCTGTCTCAAAAATACATAAACATTAAAAAAATAAATAAGCCGTATCTAAAAGTATTTAGCACCAGGCCTTGTACCTAATCAAACTCTCCCTGAAATAGAACACCTGTTGTCACCTGGTCCCATGCTGATGTCAGCATACCCCCCACCGTACCGTCATCTGTGTTTATTTCACTCACTCAGTAACCAGTCTTTACTGAGGCCCTACTATGTTCCTATTCACCAGGGTAGGCCCTGTGGCTTCTGTGGGGAATGAGGCAGGCGTGGTCCTAGCCTAAGCAGAGCTAAAAACCTGTCGGTTGATTCCAGCACAGCCAACAGCTTCTGCTCTTTTCCTTCTCAGGGTCCCCTCCTAACCGCAAGCGTCCTGCTAACGAGAAGGCTACCGATGACTATCACTATGAGAAGTTCAAGAAGATGAACAGACGCTACTAAGGGTAGCAAAAGGGAGAAGTGCAGGATGGACATAAACAGCACTGTCCCCTCCCTAACCCCTTGACAGACGGCTTCCCAGACAGAGGTGGACACAAGTTTATTTGCTACCAGACAGTTCCCCAAACTGATCTCCACTGGTCCTGCCACTTAGCTGCTGGATTTTCTGGGCACTGCGTTTGTGACCTTTGAAACAAGACAATGTGGAGTTTTCCTGTTTGGGGGCAAACTTCATTCTTGTGTGAGCATTATAAAATCTTGTTCGTAAATCTATTGACTTTCTCTGAATATTTGCCCTGGGTCGGGAAGAAACAGCGGTGTTCGAAGCAAGAGAACACCCTTTCGCTTGTGCTATTATTATAATATATACGCAATCGTGTCTTGTGCTTTCAAGTTCCTGGAGGTCAGGAACGCGCCCTTCACCGTGTGTAGTGGGTCCAACTCACAGCAGAAAAGTCTAGGATGGGATCAAGGGGACACTGGTATTTTCTGACTTTTACAAAGTTACCGGTTTCTTTTCATTAAGAAAGAAAAAAAATTTCTATCACTTTCAGCACTTAAGTATTATTATTATTATTTTTTTTTAACATTTTTTTTTCAACGTTTTTTATTTATTTTTGGGACAGAGAGAGACAGAGCATGAACAGGGGAGGGGCAGAGAGAGAGGAAGACACAGAATCGGAAACAGGCTCCAGGCTCTGAGCCATCAGCCCAGAGCCCGACGCGGGGCTCGAACTCACGCGAGATCACGCGAGACCTCGCGAGATCGTGACCTGGCTGAAGTCGGACGCTTAACCGACTGCGCCACCCAGGCGCCCCAGCACTTAAGTATTAAATATGAAATGAATCCAACCATACTATTCGTACTGGGTCTCCTTATACCAACCCTAGGTAATGTGTCGAGAGCCTGCGGGTTGGGCAGCGCAAATGCAAAACTCAAGTTACTAAGAGAGACTGTCTCATTTAGTTTAAAGATGTAGGGGCGCCTGGGGGGGCTCAGTCGGTTCGGCACCCGACTCTTGGTTTCGGCTCGGGTTGTGATCCCAAGGTAATGGGATCGAGCCCTGTGTCGGGCTCGGCACTGAACGTGGAGCCTGCTTGGGACTGACTCACTCACTCTCTCTCTCTCTCTCTCTCTCTCAAAAAAAACAAAAGTAGGCTTCAACCTGCCAGCTCTGGGGTACAGTGCCTCCATGCTGTCATTTTCCTGAGGCACTGACACATGTTGAGATGAGAAAAGGGCAGGTGGGTTGACTTCTGGGCTGACTCACTGTAGGTGTTGCAGCTAGAGGAGTTTGCCTTTGGAGTCCAAGCTCAGCCCTGCTTATATCCTTCAGGCCCCGAGCCTGTTATATCCTTCGACAATCTCTTTCTCTCGGAGCCTGTTTTCTCATCTGTAAAAGGGAGATCGTTTTTCATTTCTGTTTTTTTCCCTCCACTAAAATGAATGGTAGTGAAGGCAGGAATCACCTATGCCTTGTTTTTGTTTTTGTTTTCCCTTGAATTCCCAGGGTCTAGTCCATAACCCAACACATTGGCAATCCGCAACCCTATGAATGAATGAGTGAATGAGTGGAAGAATCCTTAGTCATCATGTTGATAGTATGTATCCTTCATATGATGCCATAAAAGTATCACTCTACCCATGTAACGTTTCCTCCTCAACGCTCATAACCACCGTCTAATCAAAAGAAAAACATCAAATTCCAATAGTGGGCCATCCTCTGAAAGATTTGACCAAGTACTCCCCCAAACTGTCAAGGTCGTCAAAACCAAGGAGAGCTTGAGAAACAGTCTTAGCCGAGAGGAGCCTAAGGAGACATGAAAACTAAATATAACGTGGTATCTTGGGACAGGATCCTAGATCAGATACAGGGCATTAGGTAAAAACTAAGGAAACGCTTTAGTTGTATCAATATAGGTTCGCTAATCTTAACAAATGTTAACACATTAATATGTTAATACGGGAAATTGTGTGGGAGGATATATAGGACCTCTCTGTACTATCTTCTCAATTTTTCTGTAGATCTAAAATTACTCCCCATCGCCCCCCCAATTTTTTTTTTCATGGACTCCAGCGGCCTCCGTCTTTCACCTCCCGGAAGCAAGAAAGCGCCCCGCCCCTCACAAAGATGGTAGCCACAGCGGCGCGACGAGACCCGCCCCGCACAAAGATGGCGGCCGCGCCCCGGAGGAACCGGAAGCGCGGTCTGGCAGCGGCGCGGGTCCGGGGCAGGCGCGAGAACGCGCGGGCGGCGCGGGTCCGGGTATGAAGCTGGGCCGGGCCGCGCTGGGCCTGCTGCTGCTGGCGCCTCTGGCGGTGCGGGCGGTGGAGCCCATCAGCCTGGGACTGGCCCTGGCCGGCGTCCTCACCGGCTACATTTACCCGCGCCTCTATTGCCTCTTCGCGGAGTGCTGCGGCCAGAAGAGGAGCCTCAGCAGGGAGGGTAGGACGGGGGGCGGGGCCGGGACCCGAAGCCGGAGCGGCCCGGGCGGGGTGGCGCCGGGCTCCCGGCCACGACCACGACCACGACCACGACGGACCGGGGTTGGTCGGAGAGCCGAGCAGGCGAGCTGCGGCCCGCGCCGCTTCCTCCGCCGAGAGTTTCGCTCCTTCCTGGAGGGGTGGTGGGAGCTCGGGCTGCCGATCAGCAGCCCTTTCCGGCCGGGCGTCGCCCGGGGAGGGGCAGAGCTGGGGTGAGGGGCGCAGGGAACGGGCAGGGCTAACAGGGGGAGGGCCTCGAGCCCTCCCGCCCTCCCCCCCTCCCCGGCCACCCCCGGGGGCCCGGTGCTGACGTACCTCCGCGTTTCACAAGGTGCTCCGAGAGCTGAGCTGGCCTTGCTGGCTTTCACGGGCGCCTGTAACCCTGGGCTAGATTTCGCCAGACACACGGACACCCCGTCCCTGACCGTCACGCTTTGTTTTTCCCAGCGCTGCAGAAGGATCTGGACAGCAAGCTCTTTGGACAGCATCTTGCAAAGAAAGTCATCCTAAATGCGGTGTCTGGCTTCATAAGCAACCCGAAGCCGAAGAAACCTCTCACGCTCTCTCTCCACGGGTGGACGGGCACCGGCAAAAATTTCGTCAGCAAGATCATCGCGGAGAATATTTACGAGGGTGGT